TTGGGAGCAAATTTGACATCTGTAACTGAGGTCCTACTATCAACCAAAGTAGTCCTCTTTACCTAAAAATACAGCAGTTGTAAGAAAATTATTAATAGATTATTAGAAGTATGGTTATTATTGCACATATAATTTATAGTGTTGAAAAATGGATTTTGCATTAGAAATCTTTAAAGCTACAAAGTTACAAAGAAAAATATATGATTGCTTCGTATTTCCAAATGGCTTATAGAAATATATTATTCCCAGAACAGGAAATATTAAGGGATCACTTGAAAAATAAAATTCTTTTTTTAAAAAAAGATTTTTTTTATTTTTAGTCTTATACATACATTTGCAGGTATACATTTCCTTCTTCCCCTTCCTCTCCCCTACTCATCTCTTCCTCTTCCCCTTCAAACCCTCTCTCCTCCTCTTCTTACCCCCCCCCCCAGTCTTCGTCTCTTTTCCTCTTTCTTCTTTCCCTCTCCTTTCCTCTCTTCTTCTCTCCTCTTCCTCTCCTCTTCTATTGTTGTGGTTGCCTATTTTCCTCCTCTATCTGGTGTATTTTTGGGCTGGTATTCTGATCCATTTTTAAGAAGTAAATTGGGAAACCAGCAGAGTTCCCTTTGGCACACAAACTGAATCCAATACCACTCAGTAGATCAACTGGGGGTGGCTGGGATAAGGAATGGCACCCCAAAAGGCAGAGATGGGGGACATATGGACTGAACGCTGCAGTCTTAAACATGGACCAAATTTTTACCACATTACTGCAAGAGTACTGCTACAGTTATAATTTTAATAAATGGTCAAACTCCATTCATTCAGCACCACTGTAAATGATTGCTGAACAAATGGTTGTTAAGTAACAATCAACTGTGTAAAAACAAAATTCTGCTAGGATTTTGGCTTCAATTCTCTTGCAAAAATAAAACTGATGTACAGATCATAGTGATTCCTAATGGGATTTTGCAAAGAGAAATATGAAAGAAAATAACAAATATAAAATACATCTGTTAATTTGAATATTTTGTTTGCTAAATTGTATTGTTATCAAGGATATCATAAATTCTAAATATTCCAACTATCCATTTTTCAAAACTTACCCAGTGACTTTGCCCCCGAAGTTTATCATTTGATTCTCCTACTATTTCTTCCCAAACAGCAGCTGTTCTATCAAAAGAGCAAGAAGCCAAGACCTGTCCAAATTCCGGATGAGCCCATGTCACACGCCACACAGATCCACTGTGTGTCTGCAGAATTAAGATAAATTAAAATTACAATGAACGAATTAGTGCTTTGATCTAATCATGTAGGCCCGCAGGCCTTGAATTTGACACCCCTGTTATAAGTACAGGAATACCTGTCTATATTTATATATCAGTGATTGCATGATTTCTGTAGATACCAAACGATAAATTAATAAGTCCAAAATTCTGCATCTGTGTTTAACATTATCCCAAAAAACTACAATTCTAAATACATTTACAAAGATGAGAGTTCTATGTGAGTATTGCAGTTGCAAAAACTTGCATATACGAGATGATAGCAAAGTGTTAAGAGTTTCTGTATGTCTTTGTTTCCTTCTTCTGACCCTCCAGATTTTTGGAGAACAGATCTAGCAGTCCTAGTTCCACTGAGAACAAAGAAAATTACCTTTAGGTAGGCATCAACAGGATTTTAGAACTCATTAATATTCAATATTTGAATATTGGATTCAAATTCTTACCTTCCAACTGGCAGTACAATGCCACTCTCCATTTTCACCTTTGTCCCAAACCTAGTAAGGCAAACATGTTTCATTTAAAATGAAGACATATATGATTCTTCATATCGGTTCTTGTAGAAAATCTTATCAGAAAAAAAGACTCCTTAAGCACTCCAACTAGATTCTAGGTCACATATAAAACAAATAAGAACCTGCGCATATTATTAATAGCTACAAAAACATAATCAAGTTCATAGGTTTTTCCTTCGAAACAAGCAATCTTGTGACTAAGAAGTAAATCAAAACAATATCTACCCATTTTCGGCTTCATAATAATTCTGCAACTATTTAACTACAGCATAATAATTTGTGGCTATTAAACCTCTCCAATTACAAAAATTAATTTGGGCTTCTAGTCACGGGGAACCTTTTGTGACTTAGCTTTGTTTTGTTACTTCAAAAATCTCTTTGAACTAAGGACATAAAGGATACCATTAGGGTTTGTTACGGTAACATATTACACTAAGGAAAGAATTTGATTTCTATGCAAGATTTAAAGTTTACCATTCCATCTGGATTTGCAAAAACAGACTTTGAAATAAAAATGCATTACAATTTCAAAATCCAATGACTATAAATACATGGGAACTGCAAGGGAGAGCATGGTTACTGTAAAGGGATAAAATGTCAATGTGTAATTCTTATTAATTGTTCCCTTTGCCTTAAGTGCAATAGTAGGTGAATACATTATGCTAATCTGCAGTTTGCTTAACACTGGGGCACTATAGTAAATCACCGTTGGGAAGATTCAAACCTACTAGACCACGAACAGTGGCTTCCAATTCTAATTGTCAATGTACCAAACCTAAATGCCATCAGTTTAGCATGTTGTGCAAACTCAGCCAAAGCGGACTCTCGAATCGTGGTTCTCAACATAAGAATTCCATTCCAGGAGTCCCCAAACTTGGCAACTTTAAGACTTGTGGATTTCAACTCCCAGAGAATTCTGGGAGTTGAAGTCCACAAGTCTTAAAGTTGCCAAGTTTGAAGACCTCTGCGTTATCCTATTCACAGCAATTGCATTTTCTACCAAACCCAGAAAATTGCGACTAGACTGAACGAGCATGTTGACTGACTCATCTTCCTAAAAAAAAATATTGTTTTTTAAAGAGAGAGTATAGCGTTTTGCTCCGAGCCTTCCCCACACCTTAACACTCTGGTCACTAGAGCAAGTGGCCATGCGCCGTCCATGGAAGTCAAAAGACACATCGTGGATAAGGTCGCGGTGATCAGCTGCGATGCTTCGCGCCACGAACATCCCGGCGGCTTCGCCGTCTCAGACGTTTCTTTCCTCAGCAAAATCAGCGAAACCTTCGCTCCTCGCCACGCTTCGCGAAAATGAATGCTTTCGCGCAGCTCAAACAGGCGCGCCCGGCCTCCCAGAATTGCGTTAAAGCGTCGTGCTTTCGCCAAAAGAAAGCGACGAGTCGCTTTCGTCACTATCGCTTACGCTCTTTGCCTTTAGTGTGCTCGACTAAGAACTTCGAAGGCGTGGACTTCTACTCCCAGAATTCCCTAGTTCCAATCTCGGAATTCTGGGAGTTGAAGTCCAGGCGTCTAAAAGTTGTTGAGGCTAAGAAATACTACCTCAAACGGAAAGAGACACAGCCCCGGAAGTTTACGAAAGAAATTTAGCAGAAGTTCTGGTCAAATCGATAAAGCACGTGAAATATGGGCCCGTTAGGGAATGAAGACTTTGGAGTAGACCTCTAAAAAGCAGTGAATGCCCTGATATTTATTATGTGGCTGAATTAAAACTGAAAGGATGCCCCGCTATGGATATGCCTAGAGGCACAAAAAAAAGTTGATACTACATGGATATATGATTGGTCCACGGATTGTCAAAACTTTGAATCCAGAAAAACTGGATGTCAGAGGGGAAATATCATGACTAAACACTGGCATTTTGGGAAACCTGAAAGAGACGTTATAATGACAACCAAGGTTATGGTTTTCTCATGTAACATGCATGTGAAAGCTGACCCTTCAGAAAGGTGAAAGAAAATATGTCTTTGAATGTGGTGCTGGAGAAATTGTTAAAAAAAATGCTAGGACTCAAAAACAAACGGTGCAGTCTTACATGAAGTAATGCCAGACTACTCACTGGAAGCACTATTGAGGAAGCTAAAATTGAAATATTTTGTACACATAACACAAAAGAAAACGTCACTGCACAAGACCTTGATATTTAGAAAAATGGAAAGGAGTCAAAAAGACATCTAAGGAAACAAACATGAACTACAATACAGTCGACAGATAAGCCTGGCAAAATTGGTTCAAAACTGTTTACAAACAATGTACAACTATACTTTGCAAAGCAAAAAATTATTCGCCTACCATCAGACTTAAATTTTAAATGAATACTGTCAAAGATTCAGTTTTTAGTTCTGTTGCTGTCTGGAAAAAGCAGCCAAAAAAGCCTGATAATGATTCAACGTATTAGGTTAAGCTATATGTTGCTTATACCCTGTTTCCCTGAAAATAAGCCCTCCCCACAACACAGTAGCAGCCATGAGGTGACCACACAGTTGGCTCCTGCACCTCAAAAATAATAAGACACCCCCCCCTGAAAGGGCTTACTTCGGGGGTCCAAAGAAAATAAGACCTTGTCTTATTTTCGGGGGAACACAATAGTTTACCAAATAAGTCATGCACTCGTGCATCTTAAGCCAAAAACCAACATTTACAAGACGCTATATTTGTGTTCACACAATTCAATTTATCCCCAAATAACCACATTATTCATAATCCACAAACTCTGGTCATTGTAATGTGAATGGTGTATGGTCTGTTTTGAAGCTTCAAACTAGCATAAGGGGCGTGCATGAGCCCACCAGCGTGCCTAACGTCCCTGTCCAACTGTCCCCATTTATTTGTACCCATTTCCTGTGTTCTTAATTCATGTTTATTCTTATTCCTGTTATCTTGTACATGAGTGACAAACTAACTAAATAAATAAACCTAGCTTAGCTGTGCTTCAATAAACCACAATTCAATCGTGTTTAGCTCAAAGAAAAAATATGATTATCTTGTACATGAGTGACAAACTAACTAACTAACTAACTAACTAAAATAAAATAAAATAAAAAACCCAGCCCCTGAAGTCAACACTCCGGGAACTTCCCCACACAAAGCGATCGATGACCCAATCCCAGGTACGCATTTTCTTTTCCCCCTCCTCTCTTATAGCGGGCGGAGTTTAGCGCTAATCCAGTAGGCGGCCCACGCGCATGCGTCCGCTCCAGAGAAGCCAGCTGAGTGGGCGCGCGGCGCGGAAGCTCGTTGAAGGTAACGCGAGCGGCGGAGGGGGCGGGCTCGCCGTCCTCGCCCTGTCAGCAGCGGGAGGTAGGTGATGAAGTTGCCGATTGCCAGTGGCTCTCCTCCAACCTTCTGGCTACCGCCGCCATTATGTCCGTCATCGCCAAGATAGAGCAGGAGTTCAAGGAGGTCGACGATGCTAACGACTGGCAGCCCCGCTACTTGGTGAGTGAGGGTGAGGCCGCGGGGGGAGGGAAAGTTTAGGAACCCCCGAGGCCGCTTCAAACGGAAGAGGAGAAGAAGAAACCGCCGGGCCCCGACGGACGGGCATTCTCAGGTACGCGCAGAGGCTCGGGGAGAGGAGTGCGCATGTCGTGAATTTTAGCAGGGGGCCGCGAGGAGAAGGGAGAAGCGCCGAGGGCCGAAAGGGAAGCGGGCGAGAGCCTTCTAACGACGCGCCTTCCGTCGCCAGCTTAAGCTGCGGGCAAGGGCGGGGAGAGGCAAAGGCTTCAGGCGGCGAGGAAGTTTCGCAAAGCTGAGCTCCTCCCGGTGGTTTGTCCCCATGTGGTTGTCCCGTTGCCTTGCTGGACTCCCTGGATACCAACTTTTCTTGGGCTCCTGAACTCTGGAACCGAATACAGATAGTCCTCGACTTACAACCTCAATTGAGCCCAGAATTCGTTGCGAAATGAGAAATTTGTTTTCCCCACCTCCCGTTTTATGACTTTTCTTGCCATATTTGTTAAGCGAATCGCTGCAGCTCTTAAAATTAGTGGCATGGTTGTTAAGTGGATCTGACTTCGCTTGTCAGAAGGTTGCAAAAGATGATCACATGACCCCGGCAACCATCATAAATACGAACCAGTTGTCAAACATTTGAATATAAAATGATGTGACCAGGGAGATGAAGCAACGGTTATAAATATGAGAAATGGTCATAAGACACTTTTTTCAGTGCTGTTGTATCTGAACTGTCACTAAACGAACTGTTGGAAAAGGTTATTATTGCCCTTGAGGGCAGCTGCAAATGATCGTAGTGTGATGCAATTGTCATATGGTGAAGTGTGTTTTGTACTTAGTGTTGAAATACCCAGGTTAGAGCAAACTGCCTGGATCTCTTTCCAGATGCTTTGGTCAGCCTTAATTTAAAGATTTAAAGATTTAAAGATTTTAGTAACATTTGTAGGCCGCCCTTTTCCCTGAGGGGACTCAGGGCGGCTCACATAAAATCAGGGTTTATGGGAAGGGATTGTTGGTTAGAGTTAGCATGGAATGCCCACTGCACATGTGTGTGCAAATACCACCACCACGCATGAAAACAGCCTCCCCTGGGCTCCAGAGGCCCTCTGGAGGCCAGAAATAGTTCCCTTCCGTTCCAGAGGCCCTCCCTGAAGCCTCCTGGCACCAAAAACAGAGTGCGGGGGGTGGGGACGTGCTGCACCCCTCCCTGTGCTTCCTCTACCCGTCCCCGCTCATTTGCATGTGACCCCCTGCTCCCTGCACACGCCCCAAAATCAACTGGTCTGCAGGAGTAGAGCTGACCTGGGCACCCGGTAGAGCTGACCTGGGCAACTGCTCCTGTCCCCTTGGAGTGGACTCCGTGTGCCACTTGTGGCACGCATGTCATAGGTTCGCCATTACAGGGTTAGGGTGTTCAAAAACAGGATACCTATGCATTTCCTTGTAGATTTCAAATAGATCCTATTGAATGGACACAAGAGTAACTAAATGTCAAAAAAACCCACGTTTCTAAATTTATATGACACTGAAGTAGGATTATGGAACCAGGCATTACAGTATCTTCTTAGAGCTATGTAGTCAATATTTACACCCATTAAATACTAATAAGAATAGGTTTTATGTCCTCACAAGAGTAATTGGTTGATAATAGTTGTTAGATTTAATAAACAGATTTAACTCCACTAAAAAATTTTTTTTTCAAAAAAGAATATACGTTTTCCTTTCATAGAACTTTCTACTTTCTCTGTACAAGGCTAAGGACAAGGTTATCCCACGAAAGCTGAATAGGAATGAACTGGTGGAATAGTATTAAAATATATATATATATAATTAAACATTTTCAGAGAGACATATGTGTTGTAGTTACATCTATAAATATGTTTCTTGGCATCTTAAAGGGTACTCATTGTGGTTGCTCTTACATAAAATAATTATCCATATTTTGTATTCAAGTGTTTGTTGAATTATCACTTTTTAATCTCATTGCACACATTGGACAAAAAAAATATTAGTATTGAAAGTATGATGCTTTTGTGAGAAAAATTTTCAATGTTCTTTAGGAGTCTCGTAGGAGTAGAATTGACAGTGTATTATATACTAGTTACTCTGGATTATAGTTCTTGGCAGTTGGACATGCTAGCTGGAGGTTGTGAAGTTATAGTTCTAAATGACAACTGAGTATTGCATGTCTCTGTTGGAAGATTGCAAATACAAATAAGAAAAGATGAATTGATATCTTCCAGTCAGAACTGTGATAGGTAACTTGTTTGATGGTGATATTAAAGTGACCACCAGCAGAAATAGCATTAAAGATGATTTATCATAATTCAATCTTAGTTTTTGATGTAAAATAGCAAAAAAATCTAGGAAATATTCTGTTCAACTATTAGGAGAATCATGTGGATGTCATTTGAATTATTTAATGCCCTAATCAAGAGGTTTTTAATTGACTTGGGTATACAGTAAACCTTTTATGCTCAAGGTTACTGGCATCTTTTTAACATAGTAAAAATATAGCTTACCCTGTTTTTAATGGAGTCCCATTGTGCAACTTTCTAGTTTCACAATTAATGTGATGAATTTTTACTGCTGCTCTTTGCTCCTCCCTGGAGCTTTACATTGCCAGGTGCTGAGCCACAGACTGATAGGAACTGAAACTTCAAACTGAAATTTGATTCAGTTTTATAGATAAATCTCAATGCTAGTACTTGAAACACACATTTTTATGGGTTCTTTTTTTAAAGCCTTAGATGTTGTCTGCTTTAATCAAAAGTCTGTCAAGAGCTGAGTTGGTAAAAAAAATGTTCCTAAAATAGCTGCAATTTGCAATTTGTGAAATACCACAATTGTGCAAGCATAATAAAAATGTGACTGCCATGCACATAATCCTGCCTATTTGTATATTTAATATAATATGATTTTAAGTAATTTAGAGACCTTATTTGAAATTAGCTGTTTTCAATTGGTAAATAAGCAAAGTGCTTTTTAGTGTTACGTTAAGAAATTTAGCCTCCTGGAACCAGCAGAAGAAGAGATGAAATAAATTTCTTATGCAGGAAAATCCCTCCTGGACAAAATTGTAATTATAATGCTCAATAGTAATGTGTGTTTAACTGAGTTAACAATTAGATTGGGAACTCCAGATAGATTATAATTAGCCAAAAAATTTTTTACTCAGTTTTAATAATTTATATTATAGCTATTTGAATTTAGCACCTTCTTAAAAGCTAAGCATGTTAAAGTTGCAACTTTTGAAATCTGAATGAAATTGTCAAACTTCATTGAGAATCAGTATCTGTATTTGCATAGGCTTCCCAGTGATTAACTGGACCATGTTTTAGCCCATTCAATTTTTAATGAAACATATTAGCATAAACTGGCTGGGTTCATGCAACACACTAGATTAAACCGTGGTCACTAGCTAGTGGTTCAATGTATTACACAAAAACAGCCTATAAATCAGAAGTCAAGTATGATTAGCAAAAAATACATACTTGCTGGTGCCTTTTTCTAGATGCCTTAGAACAGGGCCATCAAACTCCCGGACCACAGACCAGATGTGTCAAGTGGTGGCCACGCCTGGTTTAACAAGGGGGGGGGAGTCCAGGTATGAGACACCCCTGAGTTTGACACCCCCGCCTTAGAAAATACTGACTGAATTCTTAGGCTGGTAGGAAAAATTAAGTTTTTTTTTCTCACTCTGATTTGAGTCTTAAGTTAACATTTCTCTATATGAATAGCCAAGGGTTGATTTTACATCTGTTGTTTAAGCTTTCTGGTATAATTATATACTGTTTTTTAAGGTAAGGGTTGCCTTGCTAGATAAGAACAAAAGACTCCCAAATTGTGAACCCTTTCAAAGAATTATCTGCATGGTGTTCTTACTGAAATCAAGCATAGATAATTAAGAGTAATTTCATGTGTTTAGCGATTAACAGTATATTACTCCTGGCCATTTCATTTTAGTTACAATTATGAATATTCATTAAATTGTATAATTTTGTATTTCTTGGATTTCTTTTAAAGGCATATAAACAGTGAGTTGAATGGAGTTCTGTTCATTACAGAAGATGGGAACTAGGATATTTTGCTTGTAATTCCATCCTTACTAGGGGTTTATAGTTGAGCATTGGGGGAATCATCTATACTACAGTCGCAACCCCACCCCCCATTTTTTGCATGCTTTTTTCACCCTCCCCAGGCTCCAGAGGCTTTATAGGAGCCTGGGGAGGGCAAAAACAGCCTCCCCCCCACCCCGGAGGCCCTCTGGAGGCTTCAGGGACCTTCAGGAGGCTTCCTTGAAGCCTCCGGAACAGTCAAAACGACCCTCCGAGCAAACCGGAAGTCCATTCCTGAACTTCTGGTTTACCGATAGGGCCAGTTTTTGCGCTCCGGAGGTTTCAGGGAAGCTCATGAAGCCTCCCGAAGGCCTCCGTGAGGGGCGGGGGAGGCTCTTTTCACCCTCCCCAGACTCCTATAAAGCCTCTGGAGCCTGGGAAGGGCAAAAAATGGCTTTTAAAAAGGGTCAACTCAGCTGGCCAGTGCAGCGCCTCGCGTGCCCTGACAAATGGCTCCGCGTGCCACAGGTTCGCCATCCTGGGGCTAGAAAGTAGGAGACTGTGTGTTCTAGTTCCACTTTAGGCACAAAGCCAGCTGTGTGACCTTGGGCTAGTTACTTTCTCTCTCTCAGCCCTAAGAATGAGGCAATAGCAAATCACTTTTGCAAAATTTTGCCAAGAAAACTGTAGGGTTTTGTCCAATTCTTGGACTTGAAAAAACAGAACAACTCTAGTCTGCAGAAGGAAATTAACATTTGTTTTTCACATACAGAATATAACTATACTTAAACACTGTTATGTTTCTACATATGGATCATTGATGTATTGACAGTGGTAATTGCAAAAAATATATATTTGCCCATAATTTACTTAGTTAAAATAGGATTAATTAATTTTGAATGAGTGTGCTGTGACAACCCCTCGATGTGTTTCTTTATGGATCAACCTTCTATGTAAAGCTAATGAGTTGGTTAACAAAAGTATCATTATACAGATAGTCTTCAACTTACAACAGTTCATTTAGTGACTGTTCAAAGTTACAAGAGCACTGAAAAAAGTCACAAATTAGTATACTGGAATTAGTAAAGTGTACTTATTGATAGCCCCTAGTGAAATTGAAGCAATTTAACAATAATGTCACTTAAAATTTTGCTTGCTTCTAAGAACCACAACAAAGCCCTTGTGCTACTTCTTCATTTGGAGATTACTCTAGAGTTAGTTTAAAAAGTCACTTATCATTTTTTCTCACTTAATACTGTTACAGCATTCCCATGGTCATGTGATCAAAATTAGACCCTTGGCAACTGACTCATTTATGACGGTTGCAGTGTCCTGGGATCCTGTGATTCACTTTTGAAACCTTCTTACAAATAAGTCAGTGGAGAGGTCAGATTCACTTAACAACTGTGTTACTAACAATCACAGCAGTGATTCACTTAACAACTGTGGCAAAAAAGGTCAAAAAATGAGGTAAAATTCACTTAACAAATGTTTCAGTTAGCAATAGAAATTTTGGGCTCAATTGTGGTCATAAGTCAAGGACTACCTATACTGACAAGACACCCTGTGATGTACAGGAGTAGTCAGTGTATGGGCTCAGGTTGAATTACTATGAATGCAGTGTTACCTTAACTTTATCCAGGTCTTTTAACTACTGCCATATTCAGGTGAATGGGCCTTTTTTTAATTAAAAAAACAGAACAAAAGACTGAATTTCTTTGTGGTATAAAAAAGAATATGTATGAACTCATAAATTCAAGGCCTTTTTCTTACCCTGTAGTCCGCAATTTTAATGTCAATTTGTGCTTCACAAGGATTTTCCTATTTCATACTTATATGTTTCAGTTTAAAGAATGACTGATTTGTGTAATATCTTGTTGTTTTTACAAAATCTTTTTTCCCCCAGACAATTAAGATTTGTTAACTATTGCTATTTTTTCAAGGATATCCGGCATCAATCCAGTGATTATCCTCATAAAGTGGCAAAGTATGCAGAAAACCGGAATCGGAACAGATACAGAGATGTTAGCCCATGTAAGTAAGATTTCATTTACTATAATTCATGCATGTACAATCTGCAGTTCACAGGCTGCATGTGGCCCTGGACAGCTAGTAATACGGCCCCACTAAATAATAAAAAATAGACTTAATTTTTTGTTCTCTTTTAACATTCATGTTATCTCTGTTGAACTCAAGTTAGTGTGCAACTTATATGTAAGACTTCTAAGCAGTATTCTTTCCTGAAACTGACCACAAAGAGGCTGCAGCAGCACTGTGATCATATCATGAAATCTAATTTTATATATTAATTTTTCAAATAATTCCAAGATTATTCCTCCAGTTATTTGAGTGATTATACCATATTTTTTGTAGTTTTTTGTGTATGCATTTTCTGTATACAATTAACAGTACCTGCACTTGCCTTAAGAGTGTTGAAATAAGAGATGTGGGGTACATTCTCTGCCTCCTTTGTTTCTTAGCATCTTCTTTGGAGCAAACAGTCAGAACTGTGTTGTGATAAGTGTGTTTGATTCTATTATTTTGTGAGTGTTTTGTATTTATTAATGTAGTGATGTTTGACTAGAATTAAATTAACTAATTTTAAAGAATTGAACAAGTAGAAGCTTGGAAAGTGCAAGACTTCTCCAATATTTTACTTGGGCTTTAACACTCTCATTTTGATGTATTTTCAGTTTCTTTTTGAATTACTATTCTATCTTTTTAAACTGTTGGCCATTCTGCGTGGTATGGAGGTATTAGAAAAAGTAGATGCAAATGTTTACATAGAATCAAAGGATAGAAGGAGTTATTTGGGCTCCTGGGTCCAACTTCTTGTTCCATGCAATCCCCAACAGATAATTTTCCAGTCTCTGTTTAAACTTATTCAGCAGGAGATCAAGTCTCCAGGTAATTGGTTCCACTTATAAACTGCTCTTACTTTTTTCTAACAGATACTCCTACATTTCAGTCCATTTGTGTGTTGTCAGTCCATTTCCCTTAATACGTTAATTTTTAATTCTGTTCTTCTCAAATTTATCTGCATTTTTTGTCTGCAAATTTAAGTAATATTTACCCACAAAATGCTGAACAATATAGGATTCAGGATTTACCTCTAATCACTTAATATGTCTCTCCATTTTGAAGAAAAACTGGGAAATGATATTTGAACTATGCAGCCCATACACAGGCTTGCTTTTTAGATTGCTTTGGTAGTCTTCGACTTATAACAGTTCATTTAGTGACCATTCAAAGTTACAATGGCACTGACTTATGATCACTTTTCACTGTTACGACCATTGCAGCATCCCCATGATCACATGGTCAAAATTCATATTTCTGACTGTTGCTCTGTCCCAAATGATATATCTTTTTGCCATCTTCTGACAAGCAAAATCAATGAGGAAGCCAGATTCACTTAACAACCGGGTGATTAACTTAGCAACTGTGGTGACTCACTTAATAACTGAGGCAAGAAAGGTCATAAAATGGGACAAAACACACTTAACAAATGTCTCACTTAACAACAGAAATTTTGGGCTCAACTGTGGTTGTAAGACAAGGACTGCCTGTATTTCCATTGAATTCTTTGCTGGAATCAAGTGGTATTATCTTTATAGCATTTCTACAATCTACTAAGCTAATCAAAAGTGAAATAAAATAAGTCTCACATATTCATCCATGGGGACTTCTGGTAATTATTGCATTGCTTTCCAGCTGCTTATAGGTTGATTCCTTTATGATATGCTCTAAAATCTTTCCTGGTATCAGTATCAGGCTGACTGATCTGTAGTTTCCCTGACCTACTCATTTCCCATTTTGAAGACAAGGACAAAGTTACTTTTAGCATTCCTGACACAATCTCTACAATTCAAAGTTACTTGCAAGTATTTTTCTTTGGTGATCTGACCATTTTTCTATTCCATGTTTATTTGTCCCTTTTTGGATTCTCACTATAATTTTTTAAAAATGTAGATATTTTCTGTTATATTATTTCGTTTCTAAATGACGATTGTAGGTGACACCAGTGATGGGATGCAACTAATTTAACAACCGCTTCCATGAGTGTGGGCTTTGCACACGTGCAGCATTCAAAAAACAACCTTTTTAAGCTTCAAAAATTATCTATGTCAGCTCCTATGAGTAAAACAGCTGACGTGTGGCAATCCGCTGTGCTGCACGAATCACCTGAGTTAAAAAAATGGAAATATAGGACAGGAAAACGCAGGGGTGAGTGGGCGGGGTCAAATGCTCACCAGAACTACTGATTTGCCCAAACCAGCTGACACGAAATTGAGGTTTTTCACTGAGACAAAGGATTGGATCTATTCTATTTGATATAAACTTCTGAAAGCATAACTTTCTGCATTTGATTATTTAAAAACTAGACAGTGTCTCTCCCCCCCCCAAAAAATGGCAAAGTTATGGATTAAGCAATAATCAAATCAATACAGCAAATTTCCCATAATCATCTGGCTGAAGTGTTATCCCTTAGTCAGAACACTGAGTTCCTGAATTAGATTTTTTTTTGTTCAGTAATAATTTCCTAAATAAGGGGGGTTCCAAAAAAGACACATGAAAAAGATCTGTTTTCTGTATTTGAAAGAGATAAAAGTTCTTGAATGTTTGACTTATAGGAACTGTTGAAAAAAACACTCTTTTAAAAGAGAAAGGGCTCTTTCTCTTTCACTGGGTAGTTGTGTTGGTATCTCTTTCTTCATGATCTATATGGGATTTTGTGTATGTAGAACTGAAGATTGACAAGATATAGAGAAATTTTGTTCATTGACATTGGTAGAATAAAACATAGAAATGAAGCAATTTGGTGTTGTATGAAACCAAACAGGAACTTCTTGGTGATTCATTGTTTAAATCTATACTTGCTGACATCATATTTCCGAGAACATTAGTACCAGTATCTGTGATTTACTATAACAAGGTCTTAGGTTTTTCCTGTTGGCAAATGTTATCTAGTATTTACAAAAGCTTTGGTTTCTATTCAGTAGAAACATCTAAGTTCCAATAAATTGTGATACTAAACAAGAAACTTAATTATTCAGTTTGAAACAGTTGAAGGTGAAGGAAACACTATTTAAAGTTTGAATATTATTTTAATGAATTCGGAAGCTATCATAACCTCACTGTAGTAGATTATCTTTATTTGATTTCAGTAACTAGACATAACATGTTTTCAATAGTTTCTGTGCATATATTTTTAACGTAGGGCTAAAATTTCTGTTTATGTCTACTGTCTGCAGTGAAGAAAAAGGCAGTGACTTTGACATACTTGATAAAATAGTTATCTAAAACCCTCAAAAGTGACTTTTTAATCATACTTCTGTATTGTAAAGTTTAAATGCTGACATAAAATTAATATAAAATCAGATTAAGAACTAAACCAATGATAGGAAGACTAGGATTATGTTCTTGGTTCTCTATTTTGAACTATATATCATATTTATATTTATACATCCTCCTAACTCTTATAATTTGTAATTATAGTGTCAGTTCATGGGTTCTAAACTTGAAATCCAAGTGAAATGATTTTAACTCTTAAAAGAACTATGCACAGCCTGAGCATAGAAATTAATATTTCTTGATTCATTTTTAACATGTTATGAAATAAGAAGTCATAGTATATTTTAAGGCAGATTTTGTCTCTGCCACAGATTAAGAAACAAAAAAATAATTTATACTGTAATTATTCTGGATTTACAAATAGTACTTTGGAACTTGGACCTAATTCTTCAATTGCTGGAATTTGCTTTTCCAGGTCAGTGGAATGCTAAATCTGTGTGAGCTACTACCCTGAACTGATTTTTTTTTTAAAAAAATAACTTTGTATATAGGTAGATAAAAATGTTTATCACCATGGTATTTTCTTCTGACATTTGTGGGAAGCATAAAGATGATTAGTTAACGAGAAAGAAGTCCTGAGATTATGCTATTGCTATAAATGTGATTTGTGAGCTTAAAAATTCCTGTTTCAGAATGTACATATGTTAAAATCACAGAGCAAAATCTCTTTAAATGTTAATGAGAGTTATAAAGCTGGACAGCTTAAATAATTACTAAAATTAATCACATTATAAATTGAAATATTTCCTTGAAGGGCAATATAAATGCTAATGCATTCTGCCCTTTAAGTTTTACCAAGTGGAGTAAAATTTTAAAAGATGAAATTCAGATTTTCACTCAGTTCACTCAATTCTTTTGTTAATTATGTGTTAACCTATCATAATGGGTAGGTTGAAAAATTATGCAGGCAGTATTCTCATCACATACTACCCATGAATAACTTAACAATGGCATACTCGGTAAGATTTTCTGCATATATGTGAAATACTAAGTTCACAGTAATCAAAACAATGGGCTAAAATATAGTTAGCTAACCAAGGTATGTGTGGTATGTTGTGTCAACACAGCAACTATGTATCAGGAAGAAAATATTTTATCTAGAGTTTCTGGAAGCCTGCAGATTTATAAAACTAATACAGAATGTGATGCATTATTTAGATACATTTAAAGATCTAGAAACAAATTAGTATTTACTGGAATTAGTAAAGTGTACTTATTGATAGCCCCTAGAGAAATTGAAGCAATTTAACAATAATGTCACTTAAAATTTTGCTTGCTTCTGAGAACCATAACAGAGCCCTTGTGCTACTTCTTCATTTGGAGATTACTCTAGAGTTAGTGTAATACACATTAATGCATTTTGTCTCTCTTAAATTGCTTTCATTTCTTTCCAGAACTATTATAAAAGGGAGATGACATTTAATGGTATAATCATTTCAATTTTCACATTAGAATATTTAATTTTATTAAATGTGTACTGCAAATAATAATGTGTTATAAAATAAATTGGAATCCATTCCATTCTGCCCCCCCATTGCCCCCACAATATAATGCGCAAGGAAATGTGGAGTTTTTTTCCTTTCCAGATAGACCTGAAAGACTAAAATATTCACTCTATATTGTTCTTATAGAAGTATTTTGTTGGCCAATTGGTTGATCTGATAACATTGCTAATAATATGAAACTTAATGTTTTTCTGATATTTTTTCAAGATGATCACAGTCGTGTAATACTACAGAATTCTGACAATGATTACATCAATGCCAGCTTGGTGGTTAATGAAGAAGCTCAAAGAACTTATATATTAACACAGGTAATTATTAGACTTTTAAGTAACACAAAGTTTGATCATATTATGTTATATAGTCTATTCTAAGAGTCAGGGTCTAATGTTGGTTACTTTGACTTCTCTGTTTTTCCAGACTTGCTCTGATTTACTTTTCTGTTTCTTAATTAACTTTTTTTTCTGTTGATTCCTACATAGTAAGTCCATGTAGTTTTCTTGGCAACATTTTTGGATGTGCCTTGCCACTGCCTTCCTAAGGCTGAGAGAAAATTACTGGCCCAAAGTCACCAAGCTGGTGCATTCCTTCCAAGGCAGGACTAGAAATCACAGTAGCCTTGTTTCCAGTTTAAAGCTGTTAATCATTATACCAAACTTGATCTCAAATTTAATGTAGATTTCCCTAATTTGGGTATAGTGGTAATGTTAATATAATTTAGGATTTTGTTCTCATATTAGTGCAGCTTTGGAATTAAAAGAAAGGAAACAAGAATATAATAACTTAATCTGTTCTTTATAAACTATGGTGGATGAATGGTGAAATAATTATCTGAAGTAAGATCGAATTTATGAAGAAATGAAGCTTTCTGGGAGGGCTTAAATCGTGGTCAATATAATGCAGAGAAGCTGATAACTAAAAGTTACTAAATCTAGATCAATTAATTTTCCCAAGGAGCCACATGAGAAACTGGTGCTATTGTGGAGGACCCAACCAATAAGGTGATAAAATTGTATACACACACACGGAAGTTGCAAAAAAAAAAAGTACCATCAAAATAAAAGCAATGTTGTATTGCATACATGGCATACACTTAATTATATTTGATTTCTAAGTTCTGACTGACCTCACACAGATTGGACAAGGACAGCCAAAGGACTGGATATGGCCCAAGAACTGTAAAATGCCTAAGCCTGGTAGATATTTGAAAGTTCTTAAATAACTCAAATGTGAAATTACTAGTCTTAATGAAAATATGTACTATGTCAATCATTACACAAGGTATATAATACATGCTGTTGAAAAAGAGGAGAGAGGGGAATCCAGGAAAATACAAGTTTGTTGGTTGAATATTTGTTGCAGATAGAGAGGTAAAAGGTATTATTAAAAATAAAATGAATATGCAAATCTTCCATCTAAAGTCCAAGTGCAATTCTCCCCAGCTAAACTAGAATGAACAATTCTGAGAAATGCCAAGAGTTGTAATTTAAATGTACTTATTTATAATTTATTTGGATCCAAATTTAACTTACTAGTTTAAGAAATATTACCTGCTAATAGAGATAAGTAGAACAATATTTTTGCTAGTTTTTCATTCTGAAGTTGTCAATATCTTTGTTAATCATTGCCTATCTCTTTTTTTATGGCAGTAGCACTTTGATCCAATCCACTATCAAAATCTAAAAATCTAAAAATAACAAAGCATTTTACATATTTATAAATATATTAATCTTACTGTTAGTATATTGTATGCAGTTTTGGCCAATGTTATATACTTCTTGTGCTTAACTGAAGTCAGAACTATGCAAGATTGTTCACATTTCATTGAAGACAGAAAAAGGGCCAGGAATTTTTTCTGCTTATAATGTTCACACATAGGCCATATTTCAATATGTACTTTATTCCAAGTACTTTATGACCAATATTATATTAAGAACTGGAGAGCCAATTTGGCTTAGTGGTTAAAGCACCAGGCTAGAAAGCAGGAGACTATGAGTTCAACTTCCACCTTAGCGATGAAAGCCAGGTAGGAGACTTTGGCTAGTCACTATCTCTCAGCCCAACCCACTTTACAGTGTTGTTGTTGTAAGAAAAGTAGAAGGAAGGTTTGTTGGACATGTTCACCGCCTGAAAACATTAAAGTTGGGAAATCAAATAAATAAATAAAGTTTTTCCCCACAATCTGACTCTTTCAGGAAAGGTTTAGTTCTAAGCTTATATGGTGTTCCTTTTTCTTGTATAGGGTCCACTTCCTAACACTTGTTGCCATTTCTGGCTAATGATATGGCAACAAAAGACCAAAGCAATTGTCATGCTTAATAGAATCGTTGAGAAAGATTCGGTAAGTTGTCCTTTTTTTTTTTAGTTCAAATTAGTTTATTGTATTTGATAGGGTTCCCAATCCTTTGGAATTAATGTTCCAAAGGGAATTCCAAAGGGAATAAAAATTTAATATATTAGCTGTATACACTGCTGGTAGACAGACGTAAACAAATACAGCTATGAAATCTGACTACAACTTAATCCAACTTAATATGGCTGCTCATCAAGAACTCAAGACTTGCAACTTTTAATTGAAATGCAGGACTATTTATTTTAATATATACCATCTTGAAATTGGAAGATTATTTTTGAATGAGCCTGCATGATGCTAAATTTGTTTTCAATATACAAAATAAGTTACACAAACTGTAAATGAATATATGTGTATCAAATGTGTATGACAAATTGCAGTATTATTTTATAATGTAGGTGAAATGTGCGCAGTACTGGCCAACAAAACAAGAGGAACCCATGATATTCAGAGAAACAGGATTTTGTGTGAGGCTAAAATCTGAAGATGTCAAATCGTACTATACAGTACGACAACTCCAGCTAGAATGTATTGAGGTAAGTTAGCATTAAAATTGTGCTTACCACATAAAAATAATTTCATAATATTGTTACCACTAATTTAATTTTATTTTGACAAATTTCAGTGCAGTAGAATGTTTTTTTAAATCATTCATAATTGTATAGCTTTTCAATAGCAGTTGGGGTGTGAACACTGCTTATGTCAAGTGTAAGAAATCTGGTCCACATGTGAATGTTCAATTTAACTGTTGTATTGCTAAAAGACTATGCACAAGTATCATCTCAACTAATGGTAACACCAGATTACAGTTCAGTCAATGGAAGTCAAGTGGGGCGGGAGACTTAGTGACTACATACTGATTTTAGGCTGATTCTTCTTTTACCAATCCTCCTGACTCTGTCAGTCCTCCTATATCTTGGTTCACTGATAATAATAAATGACTGATAATAAGCATGTAGAGAAAGGATTAGATACTATTGACATTCTTTCAGTGTTTCTTATACAAATGCTTCATTAAATAATCTGACATTTTATGGGACTGCTGGGAGAGTCTCATACCATAAAGCCTAGTGTATGGCAAAAGGAAATCAGATTTTTGAAATATCTGAAAAAGAAATCATATTGAAAATGCTTAATTGAATTTTTGTTTTACTAAATAAATTAATTTCTTGTGTTGCCTTGTAATTGAATATTATTAATCAATTGAATCAATCAAAATTTCCCTGTTGTCTTTATTTTTCCCCAGAAGGCTTTTCAAAGTGAGGAATTCAGAGAATTTTACTTTCTAGGACAGCTAGACTTTTTAAATGAAATTTATTCTTTTCCCTCACCATATTTGAACTAGTACATGTTCTTTTTGTTGACTTCATTAGCATATCAGGTGTGTCCTGCTAAATTTCTTTATTTATTTAGACTGGTGAATCCAGGGTAATACTCCATTTTCACTATACTACATGGCCAGATTTTGGAGTTCCTGAATCTCCAGCTTCATTCCTCAACTTCTTGTTTAAAGTCAGAGAATCTGGATCTCTGAGTTCTGAACATGGACCTGCAGTGATTCATTGTAGTGCTGGAATTGGACGCTCTGGTACATTTTCATTGGTAGACACATGTCTTATTGTGGTAGGTTTATTTATCTAAAAACAACCAAGTTAATGTGAAATAAATACCATTTATCTAGGAATTGTAGTAGAAATGAACTAATTCAGATTCCTTGCCCAAAAAGCAAAACATTTGCCAGATTGGAACCACAAATTAGCCATCTTGAGGTATGTTTACTCATTTCGCATAATATTATGGTAAATGGAATAGTAAAAATAAATAGTGAATGGCATTAAATAAATAGTAAATGGAATTAAGTTATATTTCATCTGGAGGTGTTAATTAAGATTGTTCAAACCATTTCCAGATTGAGATATGGCTGGACAGTTTGACAAATGTCGTCTTTCCTGAAAATGAAGGAACAGAAGACCTCTAAAACTAGCTTGTTATCACTGTAACAAACTATAGGTTGCTGAAGCAGAAATAAAGTCATATTTCTACAGGAAAAGTAAAAAGAGTTATGGTAGTCTTGGTTTTATCTTATAAATCCCTTTCATTTTGAAGATTATACTATAAGCTAACTACACATTATTCTCTTCACTGATTTGAAAATAGCGTATTACAGCAAAATCTTATAGCTCTGTATTTATATTTATAAAACAAGTCTCCTCGGCTTCAAGAAAAGGTATTGTTTCCATTTTTACTGTCATAATGAAGAGGCAGTTTGATATAATGAAAGTGTTGGCTTTGAAATCAGTAGATTCAGAGGTCTAGGTTTGCCTTAGTCTAGATGAGTTTGAGCCAGTCCTAGTCTGCCTTCTACAAAGGCTTGAAGACCTTCCATAGACATTGGACTGAAATGCTATATATATACGTACGTACGTACGTACGTACATACATACATACATAATCCCCCCCCACACACACACACACACACACACAACACTGAGGACAAATATTTTGTACATTGTGATCTTTTCCTTGGAATGGCCATTTCATTCTTGCATTAATGTTTAATCCATACTAGCTACCCAGATTTTGTATAAATGGGCTGCCACAGAAATTAAAATTATTATTTTTAAAAAATCACAAGTATCTTAAAACAGGTTAAAACTGAAACCAAATGAAAATTGAAGAGAACTAGTCTGTTAATTTGGCACCAAAACTTTGTGTTGTTTTTTTCATATACAGATGGAAAAAAGAAATGACCCACTTCATGTAGATATCAAGCAAATATTATTAAATATGAGAAAATATCGGATGGGACTCATTCAAACTCCTGATCAACTAAGATTTTCATATATGGCTGTATTAGAAGGAGCAAAATATATAATGGGGGATTCTACTATGCAGGTATATACATTGTCTACTTTTTAAGTCACACTGGATGGATCATAGTAAATTTCACCAAAACAGAATAGAGGTCCTCCCTCCCTTAATGAACATTTGTTCAGTTACTGTTCAAAGTTACAGTGGCACTAAACTCATGGTAGTTACTGTCAATCCTCAAAGTTACAGCCAGTGCAACACCCCTGCAGTGACATAATCAAACTTCCAATGCTTGCTAACTTATCCATTATCAGAACTGCATTGTGTTCTTCGACTCCCATGCCTATCTCCTTCCCATCTCTGCCCATTTTGGCTGCCCTTCATTTCACCACTCTCGGTTGACCTTCACCATCTTTCTCCTGCTCCTAATGATAGCACCAAAACTACCAGAACTGTCACCACTAAGTGCTGCAGTCATGTAATGTTTCCCCTAACAACCACTTCACTTCACAAATCTGGTCCCAGTTAGAATAGTTAAGCAAGGACTACTGTTCTTTTAAGATTCAACTAGTGAAGACATTTTTTCCCCATTCAGTATCGCTGGAAGGAACTCTCAAAAGAAGACCAAGCACCAAGTTCTGAATGTTCGCCTCCTCACCCAACTAAACCTACTGCAGAAAAATACAACGGGAATAGCATGGTTTTAGAGGAACAAGAGCCAGGAGATGTTGATCTGATCTCTCCTATACAAAATGATTCAGATACAAATGATGACAAGTAAGTAATGGTTTTATAATAACATTAAAACTGACTGGTGGACAAAAAACAATTTTATCTAATGTATCGAATGGCAAGGGTTTGTCAGTTTTACAAAGACAAAGTAATCTTTAAATTGATAAAATAATTCATCCAGGAATTCTGTAGACTTTTAGCTGAATTAGAGCGTGGTAGTATTATTTTTCCTTCCCAAGCCCCTGGGATTCCTGACAGATAATAATTCTATAATTTATAGTCCCAACACTTTTGAAACAATTACATTTTATTATTTTTATCAGTAGCACTGAACATGGAAAGGCAGTATGAAAATACCCTTTGTATGAGAATCTATTTGCCACTGAAGGAAACAAAGAACCAGTTCCCTGCCAATACACATTCTGCTATGGATAATTTATCTTCAGACATCTGAATGTACTTCCAGGATGTGGAACAAGATGGAGAGAATAATGCACATCCACTGACAAGTTCTGTTAGCAGAAGAAAATTGCCTTTAATTTTCATTTGTAGTTTTTTGTTTTGTTTTTAAGCATCTTATAAATACTAGAGATGTCATATCAAAAACATGCTTTTGAGGTAAGGGCAAGAGGTATCATGCATTGATGGATTAACATTAATTACAATTTGTCCTTGACCTATAATCATAATGGAGCTTGCAAAGGTTTTTTGATGCTTATCTGCCTCCTTGGACACTGCTGAGTGGTGGATCTCCCAGGACCTCCCCCTCCTATGAGGTACTACATGCTCACTTAACAACCTGCATATTCACCAGGGAGAGCAGGGGTGGAGGGTTGTTAAGCTGAAGGTATCTCCGTAGTTATCACTGTGCCAATAATGGCATCCTTCAATTTAATCGTTTAAAACTCACTATTGCTTTTCAGGCATTTCCAATATATTTTGGTAATTAAGGGATGCATGGAATAACTCAAAGCTGACTAATGTTTTTTATTTTCTTTAAGGGCTTTACGGAAAAGACTGAGAGAAGACAAGAAAGCTAACACAGCACAGATGGTGCAACAGATGAAACATAGGCTGAGTGAATCTGAAAGAAAAAGAAAAAGGTGGTTATATTGGAAGCCTATTGTTATTAAGATTGGATTTGGTTCAGTCGTATTTATTATAGCTTATTCTTCCTGGAAATTGTATTCCCAGTACATGCTCATGTAAGTAAGTGAGCAATCTTCCATCTACGATGAATCTTATACCCCATGAGTTAGTGGAATTTAAAGTGACTATAATAAATGGATCCAAGTTTGCTGCCACATCTGACAAAACAAATGTTTTTACTTCACCAATGACAATTTAACTTGCAGCATTGAAGTCTTGTCATTGGTGATTAACGTGATCACAAATTGGTCTCAGGATTTTTCGATACTGGTACTTCTGAAACCAAATTGCCACTTGGATTCAAATTATACATTTGTTATATAAATTAATGCACATTTTCAACAACTGTATATATGGTATCTAAATTGATAGTTCAATAGATAATAGCCTGAATGGCCAAGTCACCAGAAGAATGACTTCCATACATGATAGAAGCAATAAACCGTGTGGTGTTAATCTGAATGCAAAAAGTTACAGTTCTTTATTAATGTACCACGAACCATTTATACTATGCAGACGTAAAGCAAATTTGATAATTGTATAATCATTTTGTAAATAATTGTATTTTTAAAAGCTACATTTGTATGAATTTATCCAATAGAAATGAGCAATTGGTGAATCTTTTCAAGATTGACTTGGCAATTTACTTTTTGGACCATTCCCAATGCAATGATTAATAAATTGTTTCAGAAATTAAATGTTAGCAAATAATTATTCCTCAGTTTTTATTTACTTGTGAGATGCATATATGTATTTATGCTTAGCTACTATTTTATTTGAAAGTATTTAATTTTATAAGGCTACTGGAAGATTAGATCTTGTGTCTCAAGCTGCCTCTTTGGAAGAAATGCTTTGTTAAAAGCGGCAGCTACTGTTGGAAGCCATAGCTTGTATTTAAAGCTTACACATTCCATTAAATGTGAAACTTTTTGTGGGTCTTATTGGGTTTGAGTCCTATTCTTCTATAGCTTCTTTGTCTATAATAATTGAAATAAGCAGCACATTACCAATTTGATAGTAATTTTGGAAAACAAAAAAGCATTACAAATGGAAGCAAGTAGCCATAATGTAGATTTAACAGGGAAGGAGGGTGCAAATGAAGATTTCTGAAGCTGCTGGCACTGAGCTATAGCACAAGCTATATATTAGGAATAATCTTCTCCAATCCATCACATTTGAACAAGAGTGACCAATTGTGTTTCTGGCAAACAACTCCACATATATCCTACACAGTATTGCCATAGCATTTGGCATCCATCATTTATAGCACCCATATTTATATAAGTATCTTCTGAGCCCCATCTCAGATTCCTTAAGTTAAAACAATTAACTGACCTAATAAAAATACACTTTTAACCATCTTTTAATGTTCCCAAAGATCACTTTGTAAAGTGGATGGATCAACATTATCCCTAAGAAAATACAAACTTCTGGGCCACAGCATATGTTAGGTGGCTGATACATTTGAGGCAACTGGATGTTCTTTTGCTCTCATATCCTGCAAATTCTTGCTGGGGAATCTTCCCCAAAGAAGAAAACGCCATGTTGCCAGTGAGAGTACCTTCTAGGTTTAACCTACAATAATTAATTTATGGCTAAATAATACAATTTACAGAGTCTAGTGTTGGTATACATGCTCTTAAGTTTTTTTAATAAGTTCTGCTCTTGAAAAAATAGCACCCCATGTTTTGAAAGCACTGAAATGTTTAATGCGAAGTTCCTCATACCCTTTATTGCATAACAGAAATAGAAATACTAGAAAACAAAACTCTCATTTATTTCATCCTTCCTAGCCTACAATTTATAATTTGAAAGATAATAAAAAGTGTATTTTAACTGAAGAGAACTCGATCACACCTGGCCTCAATGTTTCCATTTTATGCTGTAGTATCAATCATGCTGCCATTTATAAAATTTGTGGATGATGCTAAAACCAAAGTAAGGTAGAATTGTTAAAAAAAAATCATGCATTGATTCAGAACTGTCATTACATACATACACACATACTTATCTATTACATAGGAAACATGAAAGCAGAGTAAAAGGAAATGTTCCCTCTGAGATTAACCAGTTTCTAGGCTTTGTTTTAGGTGTACATCTATACACAAAGATAATCAGCTGAGGCATTCTGCTCTATTTCTACTCCAAATAAATAATATAGACTTACTTTACATTGTGTACTATGTGGTTGGCAGCAACTTTCTAAGATTGTGGAAATATTTCCCTTCCATATCTGGGGGTTACAAAGATAGAAACAAGAATTCTTCTACTGCACTATAGCCCTGCAATTTTCTGTTCAGCTTTAGCGTTTTAGCGCTCCCTCCGGTAAGCATTTGGCTACATTTTATAGAGTGAATAATATTATCTATTTTTGTCCAGGTTCATTAATCCATGATACCAATCATAAGCACAAGGTATAAGGCAGCTGGATACTTTAATTCTAAATTTTCAAAAAAAGTTGTTGCATTATTTTCATGAAATACATACATTTTTGAAAACATGCTTGATCAATATATAATCTTGTGAATATATTGATTCAATTAATTGCAGTTATTAAACATTTTAAAAATACCTATTTTCAGTTTCTCTCAGTTCTATAACAGTAATTGGTATATAGATCCCTTATAATGCTTCTTGCCCTTCAATGTTATATAACATTCAGTAGGTTTTTCTTTAGGTTTTCTTTCTAAAATGTGATTGCTAATGCTAAGATACTTGCTACACTTCCACTGCATAGCCTAAGTTTTAAAAAGTTTACTTGTGGCTCATTTCAAAGGGAACAGATGGTGAACTGTTTCTTATACCACTTCAAATAGCATTATGAATTTTCTGTAATTTTATAACTCTCAGTTCAAGGACACTTTGTTATAGCAAGATACCCACACATATATGTCTATATCCAAGCTGCAGTATCCATTAATAAATTCATCTTTGGTTTTAAACAACTGATATATTTGCGCTGCAGTTATAAAACCCTAAAATTATACTCTTGACTGTACTGAACTTGTGACTCTTTTACATTGTGTGTTTATAGGCCAAGAGTGACTGACGCCTAAATTGCCAAGACTTGAGAATGTTCTTCAGCTATAATAACACACTATTGACATGCAAAAACAGGACATCACTGTTCTTCAGGAAACAAAAATGAGGTCTGAGCAATATACAAGTGGCCTCATAAATATCTGTTTACAGCGTAAACAAACAGGGAATGAAGTACATCACCAGCAAGAGACTTTGCAAAAGATAATTTGTCTTATGTGTTTTATGCTTGTATTAACTGTAGAGAGTTGTAAGATCACATTCACAAATACTTTGTACTGCCATTCTTGTATTTTTTTATATTTTGGCAGCATTAAATATTTTTTCTAATTTATATGTTGTTGTGTGTATATTTTTTAATCTAGTTCCAGAAAGATTATACTGGCAATGCTCTGAGAAATGCTATTTTAATCTATTATTACTCTCAATTTCAGCTACAATATTTCTACATGATTACTTCTGTTTTATTCTGTTCTATTTTCAGTGAGAACACATTACATTTATTACAAATAGAGAATTATGTTTAAATGAAAAATCTGTCCTTCTGTAGTATTGTAGCATTACAATACTGTAGTATCTGTAGTATCTACAGAGCTGTAGTTTCTGTGGTATTGGATATACACATTTTAGATTAGAAGATTCAATGGGGAAAGGGGGTCTATCCAGAACATTTTCAAAAGTTCACTTTCCCATCAATTTGTATTTAAAAGAAAATAATTATCTCACTGATATAAATCCACTCACACATTTCTGAGGGAGTTGGGCGGTTTAAAAACAAGAAATATAAATAATTGGAAAATTTAAAGAATCTGGATTTAAAATTAACTATGTTCAGCCATGGCAGTGCTGATGAATTAGACTTCCCATATTTTTAGACAAGTAAGTAAGTTGGAACAATACTGGAGCTTGCATGAATGAATTCTATTGCTCATAAGGAGAAATACTTTTTTGTTTAAACAAAGTCAACATAGAATTATTTTTTTTTAAAGTACAAGTCAAAGGTTCTTTTGCATTTGGGACACTCCAATATCAGTTTCTTCTTTAGTGACAGAATTGTTTTAACCAGCTTAGAAATACATTTGCCAAATACTATCATAACTCGTTTGAAAACATTGCTTTCCTTTTAAATACTTATAACTATTTTATATAAGCCCAGCAATTTTGGTTAACTTTCAAGTATTAAAGTTACCAAGAAATTTAAAAAGTAACCCTTTAAAACCCTAAACCATTTTCCAATTTTACAACAAAACCATCCCTATATCTGTAATATGAACACATAGTTTTTATATGCCTCAAATTCATTTTAACAAAGCTAAGTTTCAACTTGAGTCAAATATAACACCCATGATTTTCTAAAATCTGCTTCATTTTGTACAAAATTTTCTGAGTATATAAGATCACCACATAACTTACAATGCCTCTTGTCCAAATGTTACATGTATCTAAATGTGACACAAAATGGGAGTGATAAACATTTTGAACATCTCAGTTTTCCTTTATTACTCTTAAGATGAAATTAAATATGAATAGTGAAAAGAAGCATGGAACATTTTGATATTTGAACCAAAAGTATGCCAAGATGTCCAATTTTGATACAATAATTTTGCTCCGGTAAATTAAAATATCCATGAAAAGTGATAATCAATTACATACAAGTTTATACATTGGCCTGTAGATGCAAAACACAGCTTGGATTGTATACAAATGGACTACATGAAAAACAATGTATGATTTAAAACAATGAAGATGGGAGTCCACTACCAAAAAGTAGTTTCCAGGAACTTGGCATTTTCCATCGTGAAGATTTTTCTTGAGAAGTGCTACTCTATTGATTTTAAAAAAATGAAGCAAATTATTTCCAGCAGTATAATTCCATTAACCCAAATATTTGTGATGAAATGTAGTGAGGAGACCGATCCCTGGGAGGGAGAGGGCACATTCCAGGGGACTAAGAGGCAACTCAGCCCATAAAGCATATGAGAGAAAGTGAGTGAACATAGGAGTTATCTAATAGCTCTCTTAAGTAGGTTGTAAATTACAGATAGTGTTTTCCATCTGGCAAGATTTTGTCTATAGCTGTGAAACATTACAGAAGTCACCTTGGAAAAACTGCCACATGTCATTTCTGGTTTTGGGCCTGACATATTTAAAACCTAGCATTTGTAACTGGAAGTAACAGTTTATTAGAGTGGCCTAATGGATCAAAAGGTATCGACTGCAAACAGTCTTCATTTATTGACCATTTGTTCAGCAACTGCTCAAACCTATATTACAACTTATAGTACAAAATGTAATTGGCTAGGAGGCAAGCAAAAGCCAAAGATATGAAACGAAGTTGTCTCTTTCCAGGCAGAAAATACAGTTGTTTATGTGATGCTTCGCTTAGGGTCAGAATTGCCAGTCCCGAATTATAGTCATTACGTGAGGACTATCTAGTTTACCAATTAGTTTTTGAATTATTCTGAAGAATCTTGCAAAATTTGAGATCATTATGACATAATGGTAGTTTTGAGCTTTTCTACTAAGATCTCCTCTGTTAATCTGCAGTTGCAGTTTATACTATACTATACTTTCATAATTCTATCCATTCAAAATTGACTCATCTGCAGGAACCACAGAAAACTTACAATAATCCTTCATTACTGTAAAACTGGGACTAGGAGGAACAGGCAACAGTAGAAGAAAATACTTTTGTAATATTCATTTTACTTCTTTAGCTTTCTATAAGAAGTGCATCTTGCTATAATTCTGCTGGTTTCCCAGATATAGGTTAAAATAAAGCTTTCTTAGAAGTATTTTAACTAATAACACAGAGCCATTGAAATGTTAGCTATTATTGGGATATCATTTTAATTTGAATTAATTTAAATAGTATTGTATATATTTAAATAGTTATTTCAATGAACCATCGAAGGTTATAAAATTATGGCGTTTTAAAAGAAAAATAAGTACACTTTCAACTACATTCTGGGCCCATAATCAATTTAATGTAATTTTCTAAAGAAACTCTAAATCAAAGTAGTGGAACACATACTTACCTGAGGTGCAATTAGTGGTAAAGTTTCATTAAGGTAATCAGCAAGGGCAAAAGCATCAGGAATATTATCTCCTTCAGAGCAGAATTTCAGCAAAACCACCAGTGGAATTCCTTTTGAACAACTGGAATAAAAATAAAATGAGAAAGGGAGTGAAAAATTCAACAAACTCTCTTCATCTCTAGTATAAATTATGCTGTGAATTGTGAATACAAGAGGAACAGGATACATTCTATATTTAAAGAATGGTATATCATACATTGTGTAAATTTTACATACAAGTAGTCACATTAACAAAGCAAAGCAAGCCTCTCTATCATTCAGAAAATTATGTGCTAATTCAACAAAGTATTAATGATTTTTCCTGGGCTTTCTAACAGTGATATTGTCACACACATATATACTGTTTCAGTGAATTTAAAGAAATGAAAGAAACATCTGTTGGTGTTCTGTTCACATTTTAGTCACATTTACATTTTAATTGGTGACATTCATTAATTATAAAAATATATGATATTTTATCCTATTGCTTCCTACACTTTTGAGTTAGCACTAAGATACAACTTCTGTAAGGAAGAAAGGGAATTATTATTCATGAAGCCTGACAAAAGTCAGTTATTTCTTTTCACACTCAAAAATTGAACATAAGTCTTATAAATGCCCATTTTGTGAAGTTGTAACAGAGGTTTGATATCAAAGATCTACTTAACTCATAATAAAACATAATTGTCTTAGAAATAGCTTTTATCAAAATCAGAAATAAACCAACTGCTATTATGTACAAAACTGGCATTTTGAAGAAAACTAACAGATTAGGAACACACCAAAAACATTTACTTTTGAATCTAAAACTAAAATCTAAAAAACTATTTTAATTATTGCTAAAAATTTAACAGGGACCAGGGGGAATTCAAATCGCACTTGCTGTGTTACTTCACAGCATAAATTGGGTCAGAATTTTTCCTGTATTTCAGAAAACAACTGCATGCAATTAGAACACTATTATTGGAGAAATGAGAGCCAGTTGGGTAGCATCACAATAGAAACCATCACAATAGAAAGAGACCAGGTATTCTAACCCTGCCTTGGGCACAAAGCCAGCTGTGTGACCTTGAGCCTATCACACTATCTCAGCCCTAGGAAGGAGGCAATGGCAAATCACTTCTAAAAAACCTTGCCAAGAAAACTGCAGGGAGTTTTCCCGGCAGTATCTAAGAATTAGATACAATGGGGTGAAAATTATTGAGAAATAACATTCTAATGCATGACATTCAGGCTTAATTTTATGTTTTATTTTTTGATCTAAGCAAAAAGATTTTGAATATAATGTTACTTTTCAATATTAAAACTTTACTGTCTCACCAACCTCTCTGTGAATAATAGTTTTGTAATACCACCTCCTGGAATATAGAATATTTTATCATCGTTTGTTCCAGGAAATGCTGATATTTGCTCCAATTCACTGCCGCTCAGTCTTTCTAAAATATCTTCCATTGTTTTGTCAACAGCAGGTGAAATCAAGTATCGAAATGAAGTGCTGTCAACAAACCATAAAATTTAAGTTTAGCTGCAAAAATCAGAACTGTGATTCTGGTTCTTTCAAAAGAACCAGTTAAAATCTAACAGAAATAGCTGTAATAAATGGTTAACATTTTTTTTAATTCACTATTTTCAGTTCACTTTTAAAAAATCCAAATGGGAAAAGCGTCTGTTAAAAAACAGTTTATAGAAAGTTAAAATATAAGTTAAATTATAGTTCATTAAGTATCGTATTTTTTGGACTATAAGACGCACCTAGCTTTTGGGGAGGAAAACAAGGAAAAAAATCTGCCTTCCAGCAATTTGTCTCCTTACAGCAAACAGCAAACAGCCTGGTCAGCTTCAGCACAGCCTGATTTACCATGAGCATCTGATTGGCAGTTGGATTGGCCTCCCAGAATACTGACGATCAGATGTTCAAGCCGTCACCACCTATGGGTGCCTTCACATGCCCCATTTTTGGCCTCTGCACATCCGGTTTTCAGCCTCTGTGCACCCTGTTTTTGGTCTCTGTGGGTCCCATTTTCAGCACATTCCAGGCGGCTATCCCTGGGATCCTCATTGATATTCTGGGAGCCAATCCAACCACCAATCAGCTGCTCATGCTAAATCAGGCTGTGCTGAAGCTGACCAGGCTGTTTGCTACAGGGTGGCAAATTGCTGGGAGGCAGAGACCGAAGGATGGGGGCTGGTGGGTGGGCGGGGCTTCAGTAACATTCGCTCTATAAGACACACAGACATTTCCACCCCCTTTTTTGGGGGGGTGCGTCTTATAGTCCAAAAAATATGGTACCTTTCTAAAACCATGCATTCAAATTCTTTTACATACGAAACCGGACCTGAAGACAAGGTACTACCTATTTAATCAAAAGCCTCAATCTTAACCCAGTATTGCCTCAGCTTACAAGGCTAAATGCCCTCTATCCCTGAATACAGTATAGGAAGTAGGCTGCATGGATTGAAAATGCACACCCTTGGTTGGCAGCACACAAAATCCTGCACAAATGCAATATCCTCAGTATTCCTATTATAATTTGGCTGATGGGCAGGACATATGGTATGACATCATTGCAAATTCCAAACTTAGATCAATAGCAGAATGGCAGTTTTCTGCTAATGATAGTTTGTCCTGCTCAGCAATCTAGTTACAGTACTTTAACTACCTACAGTATTCAGGTCAACCTTAAGGGTAGCACAGCATTCTGCAGTTAAGTCCTTGAGATTGCTAATGAATGAATCATTGTGACCAGGTTGCCCTGTCCAAAAGTGGTTTCAGCTAGAAAACTAGAAAAATGCCATTGTGGCCACAGAGTGCCTTGTACATTCTCTCTCTTATTCAAAGCAATTATTCTTGGACAAGAAAAATGTTTATTTACAGTGCTTCCATTTTATGGTCCTTAATGACTCTCATCCATTTCATTAGTGCACAGAGACTGTCCTGAGCTTGCATAACAACCAATAACAACCGATATATAACTAACAACTCCATAAACTAAACGTGTTTTTCCTCAGATCATACTACAATTGCAAAGGATAACTATTTGAAAGGCTATATGAAAACACACAGCTACTTCAAACAGATGCAGGCATGTATGACATGTGCACATCCATACACTCCAAAGTACTATTTTGCTGCTGAATCTTAAGATCCTAATTAATAAACTGGCTAATAAACTGGGAAGACTCAACCAATAATTATTAATTAAAATATATATTATACATGTATAAAACTATCCAGTCTATAAAGATTTGAGCTGAAAAAAATCCACACTCTTTTTTTTCTCGTAATAATTCATCAATTTGGAAAATATCTGCCTGGAAAAGTAATTACAAACTAAAACTGTGGCTTGACTGCACAAATTTGGAACTTATTAAATTATACTTCTCAGCTAGCAGAATATACTTTACAGTGGATAGTTCTCTCTATCTTCTTCCTTACAGCAGCAGATTCATTCTGGAAATGTGAGGAACTCACTAGGTAGATTTGGAAGCAATGAGGAGAGTTGCCAGAAAGAGATGAAACTCCTATTAGGTAAGTACATGTTTCTTGGCACAATGCTCAATTGGCCTTATGCATACAATTACATAATCTGTAGGACTTACCCATGAAGCTGTTGGTCATTGCGTTGATAAGCATGACTGCTTGACAAGAAAACAATTTTGGAAAATCCAGAGTTTTTCACCCACGACAGCAATATTTGGCAAAACAATCTATATTTATTCTTTTATTACACCAGGAGGCAAAGCAAGGCAATAGGTTAGAACTTTCCATTTTTGAATCTTGTCAATTCATCTGTAGCTTTAGCACTCTGGAATTTGTATAGTTATGCAAAAAAAGTCTTAATTATTGCCAATGAAAAATAAAAATGGTTTAACTGATGCAGTTATTTTTCAGTCTTATCAAAATAATTTAAAGAATTAAAACCACTGAGTGCACAATATTGATGCTTTTCATAAAGCTGCAGTACCAAAGTCTTTCACAAAATTATTTATAGGATAATCATGATTGTTCAACTTTGACATGGAGATTTATCTTTTAATTTGTGTCTCTGTTGTGGGGAAAATGTCCAATTAAAGGAGAATCTATTCATTTGGATGAACAAAGTGTATTTTGTTGGCGTACACAGGTATAGGGATCGCTTGATTCCCAGCCAAATGAATGCAAAAGAGCCCCAAACTAAGTAAAGTTATGAGCAATACACTCCCAGAATAGTTGCATAGGAATCATAAACAAACCAGTGTAAATCATACAATGACCTTTACAAGTAGAACGTTACTTCTGATTACACTACGGGATGACTCTATTTTGACTATCCCAGCACTTCTACATTCTTCGAAAAACTAACATCATGTGCTATAAACAATACCTTCCTTCTTATCACAAGAAAGACAACAGTCTCGTTTCTGTTATTTATCTCCTCTCTCTCCAAGGTGATCAGGCAAGTTTGGATTATCTACTCCTTTGTATTTCTGTGCCTTTCTTTATGCTTATGCCATGCACATGCCCTTTTATGTGACAACCTTCCACAATCCCACATAGGCATACATACCTTTATGAATGGTGATCTGATCTGCAGAACCACCAATTCTTTTGATGTTTTTGCATACACTGAAAAAAATAGCATAAGCAATATGTCAGCACTAACATTAAATTACCTTTAACCAATCATATTACACTTGATGCCAGGAAATTTAAGAGGGGCTCTGCAATCATGCCTCTGTTGCATTTTGACAAAACCTAATACAAAACATTTAGAACAAGAGAGCTCACCTTAAAAAGAGAGAGAAAACATTTTAAAACACCCATCATTTATATGTTCCCAGTTTTCAATCTGTTCTGACCCAGCACCCCAAACCCTCTGTAGTTAAATCAATGATTTCTTTATTAGGAGCACCAGCAGTCCTGGCAAAAAGTTTCTCTCTCACCATAGGCTAACAAGTCTGTCCAGCAGGGAGACGAATAGTTGTCTGTCACATCTATTCATTTCCCGCCCCCTGCCTTTTATTCCCAGAGCTAGGGTGAGGCTTCATTAGTAGCAGTGGCTCTTCCATCCCAAGGATTGGCCGGCAGATTTCCACTGTTCTCCTCTCCTCTGCCTTCTGTGCATCTGCGTGTCAGGCATTGGACCCAGCTGTTCTTCCTCTTCCTCATCAGCCACCTCCAGACCTGGGGGCTATCTGAGGGCTGACAGACGGCCCAGGCTCCGCCTCTGTCTCTCTCTCTCTGACAGCTCCATTCACTCTCTCTTGGAGCTCTCAGGTTGCCTTGATGCTGACCCTGACTCCCATGCCACCTCATCTGATTCATCTACTGGAGGGGCCAACAGCTGACAGGCCACAACACAATCTTTCTGAAATCTCATAATGATTTTAAATTTTAGGATCATTGGCATCAATCGTTTTGGTACTAACTGATTAGGGTTTCATCTTTAATGAAAATGCAAAGTAGCCATCAAGTTATGACCGTAATTAATCCTGGCAATTACAGAGGTAAGTCACGATGCTCGCAAAGTGGTCATCATAACACTGACCCTCCTTTTTTTGGCAGCAGGCATAAAGCAAACCCAGCAGTGCTAAGCAAACCCATTGTTCTCAATGGCCCATTTTTTGCAGCAACTGAAAGTAAACCCTGGTTTCTGACAAAACCGTCATAAGTAGCAGTCATATGACTGCAGGGCGCAGCAAATGTGGGCCAGCTGCTGAGTGCCCAAACGCGGTCACATGACACAGGGAGTGGGCAATAACAGAACTTCGAAACCAACTTGTAAGTAGCTTTTGGGGAATCCAACCGCTCTGCAAAAGCATCTTTAAATAAATCATACTACACACACACACACACACACACACACACACACACACACACACACACACCTGAAGCACCCAATCTATTCCCAATTTAGTGGCAAGACTATATTTACACCACCTACCTTCAGCATTTATGCATAGTTCCGTTGCATCCTCTTCAGTTGTTGCATATGGATTATTTCCAACCATTGGCACAAGACAATCTGTATAAAAGTAACCAACTCTGGGCATACAAAGTGTAGAAATGACTAAATCTATAGCCAGCTGGCCCACATTGCCCACTGATACAGCTGGCTGAAATTAGATAAAAAGCAAATTTAAGTATGTATCAACTCAAATAATAATCCTATTCGTAATTTGCTGGAAAGACATATCAAATTACTGGTAGCTATGTATCTATTTTGTATTGTAAAATCATAAGACTAAATTACAATATTGTTGTAAATTAACTGAAAGACATTCTGTCTTTATATATTCACTTGATGCCTTGATCAATTGCAAACATATTGATTGTATACTTTTGTATTTACCTATTGCATTACCTATTACAAAGCTCAAATAGTTACATTATTAATAATTGAATAGTACTTTTGAACTGGAAAATTACATGTCCATTGTATTGTACTAACATTAAATTTTATATGCGGGTGACACAAAATGTGATTAATTAAAAGTGGATTATATGTAAGTTTGCCAAAATGTATATAATTACGATACAGAAATAATGTCAAAACAAGAGAAATTATAAAGGAATTCCAATCTGAGACCCTCATGGCTGTTCATGGAAAGGGAATTTTAAGAGCACCACTGAGTAAAAAAATGTTGAACTCATATACATCAAAAAGTTTCAGGCAATTTCAGAAAGTCTCAATAGCACACTGGGTTTTTAACAAATTTACAATGGTTAATTGATTAAAAAACCTAATACAAGAACATTGCTGAACCATATGAATAATCTATTAGTACATTTAGTTTTCTTGAGACCAGAAGCTTCAGGTACCACGACTGGTAGTCCTCCAGTTACAACTGTCATAGAGTCTGAAATTTCCATTTTATGTCATGATCCTTAAGTCAAGGCAGGCATATGACCAAATTGTATTTTGGTGGAACCAGAACTAAATACTGGTTTGTTTGGGGCAAAAAAACAAAAAATTGCAGTCATGTGACAGCAGGATGCTGCAAACAGCCATAAATGCAGGCCAGTAGCTGAACATCCAAAAGGCAATCACATGACCAGAAAGGGCCTAGCCATCAGAACTTCAAATCCAGATCGTAAATACCTTTTTGCGAGTCTGTTCTAACTTTAAAGGGATGTGGTGGCTCAGTGGCTAAGAGGCTGAGCTTGTCGATCAGAAAGGTCGGCAGTTCGGTGGTTCAAATCCCTAGCACCGTGTAACAGAGTTAGCTCCCGTTACTTGGTGGGAAAGTAACAGCTTTCTGTGCACCTTTGGCATTTAGTCATGCCGGCTACATGACCACAGAGACATCTTTGCACACCACTGTCTCTTTGGCTTTGAAACAGAGATGAGCACTGCCCACTAGAGTCGGGAACATATGCGCAAGGGGAACCTTTACCTTTTACATAACTTTAAACAGTCAATAAGTGATTGGTTATAAATTGAAGATTACTTATGGACTACAAAAATCTGGGCTGTACTACATCTGGGCTGCAAAAATCCAATGACAAGATTGTCCTAAATCTCTCCTTTATTTGAAAGAATGCTTCTACTCCTTTTAAAAAAGAAAATTCAATCAAAGTAGAATAGTTTTCAAATGATAAGATTTATTTTATAAAACTGGAACGATCATGTTGTAAGCCATAGAGTCTTTTTGGTCACAATGAGTAGAAAAGAAAGACATGGAGAAAGAAAGACCCATGAATTCCAAGCTTACCCCAAGGATTTCGACATCCCTCTAAAACAGAGGTGGGGAATTACGTGGCCCAAGAATTTTGGGAGTTGAAGTCCACAAGTCCTAAAAGGGCCATAGTTTCCCACCACTGCTCTAAAACTTCACCAAGCGGACCCTTGAAGAGTCAGAGTTAAAAAAAACAACGCGCCACTCTTGTTTTTGTGCGCAGCTCTATGGTTGCCCGAGAATGACCAAACAAATACTTGGCTATACAACTCAGGAAAATGAATGCTTATTTTACCATAAGGAGTGTGAAGCCTTTGAAATCGGAGCACGCATAGCCATCACGGGAAACGAACATTCCGGCAAGGACCAAGCAACAAAAACACCCACGAAATAAGCACCTCGCAGCGATCCAAACCAGGGTGAAAAGCGTGCCGGTTTCTATGTCCTGGGTCCTCTTACTGTCCTTGACAGAAATAGGTGTTTGGTCGGTGCCTGTCAGCCTTTCTCCTTTGTAGCAACAGCTTTATTGAAAAGGGGTTAACGGGAGCCGAAAGAACAATTTCGAAACATCTCTTTGCACCGGGTTGCTCGCCAGGGTGTAATTAGGAAGAAGGGTGGGAACAGAAAGGGCAGCGGTTTTTCTCAGGCGATTGTTCTAGACAGACCTTAGCCAAAGCACTTTGGAAAGATGGTTGGGATGAAAGACCGCTGCCTAGATGAGGGGTGCGGCGTCAGAGGCCCCGGTTGGCTGACGATTGAACCAATGGGTGCTCGCAGAGCAGAGGCAGGGCGCGAGCGGGCCAGTGAGCGGGAGGGCGGGAGGTGCGGGCGGTTTGGGGCCGCGTTGCCGGAGATGGCGAAGGGTTTTCCTCTCGGCAACTGACGTGGTTTCTGCTGTCTGTAACGGCAGTTAGGGGAAATGGCTTTTCCGCCAGAAAAAGCCTCGGAACTGAAGGAAATCATTCACCAGCAGCTGACGAAGGTGAAGGTCTTTCGTTTTAACCACCCCAGCTCTAGTCTGAGTCTGATCTCACTGGCGGTATTTCACAACAGAACAACTTGCCCAAGATTAAGTTAATCATAGTCCCCCCCCCCCATCTCTTGACCGGTTTCGCCCACATAGAAAACGATAAAACTAAATTCGGGAATTTTGTTCACACTAGAGAGAAATATATTACCTAATGATGATGCGAACTCAGTGTTGCAATTCTAAGGAAGGCGATTCTAACCTGTTTTTATTTGTTCATTTGAAGTCTTTAAATGCTCTTCAGCTCTTCCAGGGCAGCATTCTGATTCATCAAATCAAGGCAATGTTGACGCTTGCTTTGCATGCTAAGTCAAAATGTGACGCTTGTGGCTCAGGTTAGAATGTTGTGGCAAGTTGTGACAACGTAGGATCATAAACTATGGTTTGTGTTAGCAGAAGCAAGCCTATTTTTGATTATGTTTTGTGATAGATTGGACTACATTTAACAGAGGGGACAATGAAGTGCTATAGAAAAGGGAAATAGGGAAATTGGACTTTTGCAGGAAAGCTTGGGGAAATTGTTTTGTAATGATGATGTCTCTACTTTAAGGCTTACATCACAACTTTTCCTAAATAAAGAAAAGAAGGAAACTTTGTGATTAGCGGTTATAATTAGAAATAGTTCCAAAAATAATAAGAAGGAGACCTTAGGTGCATATTGCTCTCAGACTACATAATGCCTTTTTTATTTTTGCATAAACCCAGTGCTTAAACTTGGCCATTGATTTGTTTTGATGAATTTGAAAAGAAATGACAGAAAGAAAGTGGCCTGGTGGAATGATTGAGTTAAGAGGTAATGCACTGTTGTGACTAGACTGATACAGGATGGTGAAGATTAAAATTAAAGCCTCACTTCTGGAAAAATGCCAGTTATAAATGTACAAAAGAAAATTTAGAATGCAGCTAGTAGTTGTTGATCTAGTACAGGTAGCCCTTTACTTACAATGTTTCATTTAGTGACCGTTCAAAATTATAACAGCACTAAAAAAACCTGACTTATGACTTATTTTCACACTTAGGATCATTACAACATTGTCATGGTCATGTGATCAAAATCAGATTGACAACAGACTCATATTTATGACAGTTGCAGACGTCTGGTGTCATGTGATCACCCTTTGTGCCCTTCTGACAAGCAAAGTCAATGAGGAAACCAGATTCGCTTAACAACCATGTTTCTAACTTAACAACCGCAGTGATTCACTTAAGAACTCTGGAAAAAAAGATCGTAAAATGGGACAAAACTCTTAACAAATGTCTCACTTAGCAACAGAAATTTTGGGCTCAATTATAATTGTAAGTTGTCGACTACCTGTAATCATAGTTGAAAAAAAGTATGTTAGTAGAATAAATAAGCTGACCAAAAACTTGTTTGAGCCCATTTTGTAACTACATATAAAGTGAACATAAAATTGTAAACCTGGTGCTAAAAGCTTATTTTCAATTGTAAAAAAAATGTGTTTAAGCACATACAAGTCAGTAAAATAATCAGTGGAAATGTAAATAATGGTGTAGGTTGGCTCCAATGTAGCTCTACACTTGCACTTATGCTGAAAAGTTCTGAAAAGTTCTGATAAGATCTTGCTGAGCAACAAGAGAGGTGATGCTGAAGGAAGGGTGAATGGCCAAAAATATTATTCTTCTGCCAATGGATGCCTATACCCCTCGTACATTGGAATAAGCTCTTCTACTGATAAAAGATCCAATCTGAACTTAATTTCATCTAGAAATTATCCTGCTCGTTTTGGAATGACTTATTTGAAATGTTGAGTAGAATATATTTTAGGAATTGTTAACAGAGATGTTTCCTTTTAGATGGATGTTCATAGCAGTTGGCTCCAATGTAGCTCTACACTTGCACTTATGCTGAAAAGTTCTGAAAAGTTCTGATAAGATCTTGCTGAGCAACAAGAGAGGTGATGCTGAAGGAAGGGTGAATGGCCAAAAATATTATTCTTCTGCCAATGGATGCCTATACCCCTCGTACATTGGAATAAGCTCTTCTACTGATAAAAGATCCAATCTGAACTTAATTTCATCTAGAAATTATCCTGCTCGTTTTGGAATGACTTATTTGAAATGTTGAGTAGAATATATTTTAGGAATTGTTAACAGAGATGTTTCCTTTTAGATGGATGTTCATAGCAGGATTCGAGCAGTTCTTGCTGAGACCATAAGAGAAGAATTGGCACCTCAACATCAACAATTATCTGAAGAAGATCTAATGAAAGCCTTAACACAGCGAGGAATCATTGATGATGTTGTGAAAGAACTCAACTTTGTGTCTGTGTGTACAGTTTGGCATTTTAAAAAACCCATTCTGGAACAATATTAATGAACATAATAAAATTATTGCTATCGTTGAAGAAAGAATTTCTGGGGGTTCTTGTGATATAAAACTATCTAAAACAATATAAATGATCCTGTTTCTTTAGTGAAATGGAACAAAATGCAGCTTGATTTGGAAACACAATAGCTAATAGAATAGGGTTCCTTGTGTATATTGCCACCTTTGGTATAAGCTTGCTAATGTCATTTGTATCCTTAAGAATCCATTCTGCAGAAGGTTCAAAAAAGGGACAGAAAGTAGATGACAACTTCCGCCTCACTGAGTACTTAAAGGCTGAGAATAAGCATAACAAATTTCTCCATCCCTGAATTTAATAGAAGTGAGAAAGTTCTACCACAATTACCACTTAGTGTTCTCTCACCAAACAATAATGGATAAATAAGCATCCTATTTCTCTTTACAACCTCTTGTATTCAAAATAGATGCAAATTTGGTGTCTATAATTATTGACAAATATACTAGTTTTTAAACCAAAAAATAAGAGAACATAAAATACCTTGGCATGCTGAAATGCAAATATTAGAATGTTCTTACTTAGTGCATATTTCAAAAAATGCATACCAAAAAGTTTATTTGTTTATGGGTGTTGGAATAACCAGCTATGTTGAATCATAAAGCTATATCCTTGGGCTGGATATTTGATAGAATAAAATTAAGAAAAAAGAAAAAGAAAGATTTACAGAATTGTAAGAAAATCTGATTTGAAAATGATCTTAATTTTTTTTAAATTATATCTATAGGACATAAATGACAGGGAAAGAATTTCCACTGCAAAACCACCTACACACTTTGTTGACAGGCAACCAGCACTATTGAAAAAAAGTATGTTACATATTATCTTAATAAAACTTTAATGATAAGATTATTTTCATTCTGTGATTTGTTTACACTTCTTTCATTTTCTTTCCCCTCTTTATTTTGGGCATCCTTATGTAAATGTGTTCGTTTATACAATTTCCCATCTCACATCGAAACAATTCCGTTTAGGTAGTCCTTGTTTAATGATGATTTAATAGTGCTAAATAAGTAGTACATATGACCAGTCCTCATTCATACCTACAAAATTTGCAGTCACTTGATTGCATTCTGGGTATTAAACAATCAGCTCACAATTATGAAATTGCAGTATCCCACATTTGTATGATCACCATTTACAACCTTCATTACCATCATCCTACGAGCAAAACTCAATGGAGAAACAGGCAGGAGGTCAAAAATGGTAATCACGTGGTGTCATATTTAATGAAGGATTTGTTTAATGATAGTAAGCAAGAACTGCCATTGCTAAGGAGTATAGTCAGGTGACATTGTTCTTTATAACCACTTAGTTACTGAAATCTCATCCCAGTTTCTACCAGTATTTCTAAGCGACTATCTGTAATCTTAATCTTTCACCTAATAAGTAAATATCATATGTATACCTATAAAATATACCATAATATGATTATTAGATCTTAAATAATACAATTCTGTAATTCCATTTAAAATAAGTCACAATTTGGTCAAAAGCAACATTATTATAGATTTGATAGGAAAGTAACTTATACATTTAAAATAAATATTAGTTGAACAATGTAAAGCACATGCTTATTTTAAAAGGAGTCTTTTAAGGCTTCTGAAGATCATACTCATTGTTTTAAAATTGCTATCTGTATTTTTACTTAGCATTTGTACTACCTTACTTTACAGCAAATATTGATCCAACACGAAGATATCTTTACCTTCAGGTTTTGGGAGGGAAAGCTTTCCTAGAGCATCTTCAGGAACCTGAACCTTTGCCTGGTCAAACTTGTTCTACCTTCACTCTTTACTTACATTTCCGGAACCAGCGTTTCCGCTCTAAACCTGTTCCGTGTGCCTGTGAACCAGATTTCAACGATGGATTTTTGCTTGAAGTACACAAGGATACTTTAGGTAAGTAAATTTGTACATTGATTAGAATCTAAACATTATAAAAAATGAGATTTTTTAAAACTGAAAGACTACAAACTTTATATGGGCTTTTGTTGAAACAAGAAAAGATCGAATTGATGACTTTTTGATGGATAATTATTTGATAGAAGAGGGGAAGGTATAGCTTTATGTTTTTCTC